ATGTTGAAATTAAATAAGACAGATAAGGAGTTCCATCAATAAGCAGCCTCAAAAGTACAGAAAGTACAAAAAAGGTCAAAATACCTAATGTTGAGGCAAGAAATTAAAACAATGTGGAAACAAGACCAAGTATGTTTAATGGCCCTGAATTGGTATGAGGAGTAAATAAATTGTTTTTTCGTAAATGGTTGGTGACGCCTAAGAATTACTCATATTTGGGATAGCATTCAAACTAATCTTCTGAAAATGAATTTGGAGAGTTGTCAGGGCGATAAATGCTGAAAATATAGTGAATGTGTTGCTCAATAAAGTTTTCTGGAAAGGCCCTGTACTATATTCAATGACGCATTCTTTCTGCTGAAATCACAGAGAAATTTTCTCCCTGGTACAGTTAAATACAGGCCTGTAGATGTGCAGTAATGTTGTAAGCGACAAACTTTTTATATTGGTTTTTAAAATACATACTGATAGGTTGTGATTCATCTTACTATTTTTTATTTGCAGGAAAGCGATATGCATAAATTTCAAAATACAGCTCAAGTTACTGTACTGTGTATTCTTTGAAATAATGTAATTAAGCTTTTGATCATGCTGCAGTTTATTGTATCCTAACCTTGACAATTTCCAGCTTATTGTATCCTAACCTTGACACTTTTCAGATTATTGTATCATAACCTTGATTATCTCCAGAAAGGATTTAAAGTGCTGTGTTGTGTCAGACCCCTCTCTAAAGGCTTTTTCGACAGTTTAGTTGTAGAGATCATAACTGTAGAGATCATTAGTTCTCAAACAGTAATTAGTTGCCTGTCCACTTCCAGTCTCAATTTAGAGTTCTGAATTTACCTAATATTCATAAATAGCTTGAAGCCTGTTTATGAAAAGATTTCCTTAGTAGTTTTAGACATGCAGAGCTGGGAGGGACCCTTTGGATCATGAAGTCCAGCCCCAGTCAAGGAGATACATTGGGGAATTGAACTCCCAATCTTGGCTCTGCAGCCAAATATCTAAACCCTTGAGCTATCCTGTACCTCAAGAGATGTTTCAGTTTTCTGATTTTCATCAGATGCCATTCTCAAAAGTCTCACACCTGTCTGAGGTTAGAACAGACAGAACATGTGTAATGCTTCATGTATGGAATTTCTTCTCCAGAGTTGCTTTCTAAATATTTTGGAACTATTTGGATTCTTAATTTCTCCAGGGGCTCTGGAAAGTTGAAAACCTGATTTTAATAGTGTTATGATTCATCCTTGCTTATTGAATGGATATTGCTGTTTCTGTATTTGTTATCATTAAATGGCATATTCTGCTGCGTGTTTAATGTTATACTTCCGTGTGAGCTTTCACTGGAGAATCTCATAAATTTTCTCGTATAAATACAGATGTCAGACTCCAAAAATACAGCTGGAATGATTGCCAAAGTAGGGCTGTAAATGTCATCCAAAATGTATTTATTTATAGTGTATATTTAAGGTAAACTGGGCTCTGTGTACAAGAAGGTAAAGATAATTAGCAATTCATTGACTTGCTATAGGTGGATCGAGCAGCTACTTGAAAGAGGTCACCCGCAGTACAGGAATACAACACTTGTCATCTGAACCCACTTCTGTAAAAGGATTAGCTGTAAGGCTATTAGAAGCAAACAGAGAAAAATAGAGCTGTTTAGAATTCTGTGGATACAGTCTGTATACTTGCCTGTTGTATTTAACCTTAATGTGATGGGTTTTTTAAAAAATATTTCTGGATCACTGTAAAGACTGCATTTGATAGATTAAGTCCTCAATACTGCTATGAACGATTTTAGTAAAATCAGTGAAGAAGTTTGTGCTGCCACTTACAGACAGGCCCTGAAAGAAAAGTTATCTGTGGGGCAACCATCTTTATTACATTGAGGAAGGCATCAAATAGCAGACACAAGCTTTCAAGGAATCAAGTTCTTAGGGCATCCGGATAAGAGCTAGGAAGGTTACTTTTCTTGATGGCAACTCAGAATCCCCCAGCCATCATAGCCAGCACCAGGAGTTCCTGTCCAAAAAGGAAGTTCTAGTCTAAAAATGAAACTGTTCCCTCTCTGGTCTGGATATTTCTGTGTTTTTTAATGGACCTTGTTGAGACTTTTCCCCCTAATTTTCCACCTTTTCAATATTGCTTTTTAACATTATTGAAGAAAACTAAAGAGCTTGATGATTAAGTGATCAGTTGTTTTAATGTGATAGGGAATTGAGGGGTCCAGTTACTCTTAGAACTGAAAAAAAACCCAGTGCCGAGGTGTGTGTGCACTTGCACAAACACATGTACAAACACATCTAGGTGCAAACATATTTGTAATTGAGAGGTTCACCTAGTTCTATTTGAACACAATAGTGTCAAGTGTAGAATTCATTAACTAGAAGATAGGCTGTGTAGTTAGATGGTTCCTCTTCCTGGAAGTTAGGTATGCTACTTGTTCTGGATGGCTTTGCAATTCCTCTAAAGGAACAGTTGTATAGATTGGGAGTATTCATGGATTTGCTTCTGTTGCCGAAACCTGTGATGGGCTTGAAGTGCCAGAAGACCACCTTTGGCCAATGGACAGGCTACAACAATTCCTGGACACTGACAAGCTGGCCACAATAGTTCATACACTGATAATTTCCCATTAGGAGTGCTGTAGTGTACTCTACACAGGGTTGCCCTTGAAAATGATGTGGTTGCTGGAACATGTAATAGCTAGACTGCTGGCTAGAATGCCTTTTAAGATCCAGATGACACTATTTCTGTAATAATAGCACCAGTTACCAGGTAAGTTTCCTATGTGATTCTTAAGGTATTGATAGGGACTTTTAAAGTCCTGAATGGCTTAGCATCTGATTTGAGGGGATGCTTCTCTGCAAATATACCTGACTGATGCTTAAGATTTGCTGTTGGGGCTCCCTCAGCTGAGACAATTATGTGTCCCATAACTGAAAGTGGAACATTACGTGGAGACAGAAGGAAGGACTTGGTCAGATGTGGCATTCCAAAGGGAAGGCATCCTACAACCCAAATGCCACATCTGACAAAGTCCTTCCTTCTGTCTCCACGTAATGTTCCACTTTCAGTTATGGGACACATAATTGTCTCAGCTGAGGGAGCCCCAGCAGCAAATGTTAAGACAGTTTCCGTGGTCACGTGGCCAGCATGACTAGACATGGAATGCTGTTACCTTCCCACCGATGTGGTACCTATTTATCTACTTGCATTTTTACATGCTTTCGAATTGCTAGGTTGGCAGGAGCTGGGACAAGCGACGGGAACTCACTCCGTCACGTGGATTCGATCTTACAACTGCTGGTCTAACCTTGCAGCACAGAGGCTTCTGTGGTTTAACCTGCAGTGCCACCACGTCTATTGTATACAATTCTTTTAATGTATGGTCACCCATCCTGCGAGCTGTTGATACAAGGGGAGTAGAAATACATACATAAATAAATGAATAATCTATTCTGTATGACTTTCAGACCCCATTTAAAGATGGTGGTAATATTTCAAAGGCAGCATCTTTTTCCCAGAGAGTCCTCTTCTGTCCTGCCCTCTTTAAAATTTACTGCAATGGGCTCTGCAAGTATACATGCATTGAAATGCAATTCTGTTGCTAGTCTATCTTTTGGCTTTTATTCAGACTTCTCCTAATACACCAGGTGGCAACTCCTGTTACGGCAGAAGGCTACATGTCAGATTAAGAGGTTTAAACTGTCAATATAATTAAAAGGTGCAGTTCTGGAATGTTTATGCCAACACTAGTTAAATGAGCAGCCTCGTGACACATCCATAAATGAAGAGTACAGTCATGTTTCAAGAACTATTATCATGTCTGAAGCACATCATGGCCTTGCTCTGCCTTCTGTAAAATTCTGTTTGAAAAAGTAATATGGAATTTGAATGTTCACAGCTGCCAAAACACATACAATCTCTTCCTATATGGTTTTTCAAAGTAAGTAGAAGATGGACTGTTGTGTCTTTTGTATGTATATGTCTTCATATTAATAATTATGACTTAACTCCACTCTGGAGTATATCCAGTCATCAGGAATAAACATAGTGGGCTGAATTGGCAAAGAATAATTTTAGTGCAATGGTTTTTTGTAGGTGCTGATAAATCCTAACATCTGGTGTAGCACAGCTTATGGCAGAAGTTGTTCATGATAAAGATGTGTTACCCTGAAGCTTTCTGCATTGTTTTTTGGATATTATGTATCTTGGTGAAATGATTTTCATATATCATACAACAAGTTCAATAATAGAATTTAATCGGATAAAGTTTATTTCATGAATTACTGATGTGATAAACTTGCTTCTCCTGCAATAAAGAATTACCTGTGGCTGAAGAAAGGTTGACAGTGTGTGTACACAGGAAAAAAAACTAGCTGCATTTTGGCCAGACATTAGGTTTTGATACATTTCAGTGACAACTTTGTTAAATCTGTGTTTTCTTGTTGAACTGCTTGTTCTTTCTGTGACCCATGGTAAGCAGTGTCCTCCCTGTACCATTGAAAGTCTCTTAGAGCTTTTCTATAAGCCTGGGATATAGCATTTTATCAAAGCTTTACCCCATCTGCCTGTGCTTAAACTCACTAAAGTTCGTTATTATGTCCAATTTAGGGCAACTCTGGTCTCTTTGAGCTCTTGTTTTTAAGCAAGCCAGGATAATAATCCAGTCTTCCGGTGGCCTGAGAAAGAGACGGCGAGAATGAGTCTACAATTTATTCCCATGATGCTAAACTATTCTATACAATTACAGCCCAATGTATTGGATTTGCTAAAGTGAAGATAAAGTTTTGGCTGATACAGTGTTACTTAGTGTGGTCAGTTACAACTGGAATAGACCCACAGAATCAGTGGGCATCTGGGGAGTCAACTTCTCAGTAAGCTCCATTGGTTCAGTGGGCCTATTCTTGTTATGACTTGCAATGCTAAGCAATAGGATTTCTGCCATTGTACCATATTAAAGTTCCTGTGGTTACAAAGACTTTATGTATTTGCAGATGGATGGAAGTCTGTCTTGGTGAAGAATTGCCACCTACTACTGAACTGGAAGAAGGATTAAGGAATGGTGTTTATCTTGCCAAATTAGCAAAGTTTTTTGCGCCAAAGTTGGTCTCTGATAAGAAAATCTATGATGTGGAACAGACGCGTTATAAGGTAAACCACCTACTGAAGCTATGCTTGCAATCAAAAGAGTCATTCAGTGGTTGCTATGCCAGTGATTGGTACTGCATAATAATACCATGTCAATGCGATAGGTTTGAGGTTGCTCTGGGCTGAATTTTGGAATATTACATTTGCCAAAAAAAAGAAAAAAGAAAAAAAAATGAAAAACTCCCACAGGTAGCATTAGGAGCTGTAGTCCACAAAAGAAGCAGTATGATGGGAATCACAATAAGAAAGGCTTTGCCCCAAGTCACCGCCTATCTGGCTTCAATTGTTACAGGTTTCTTACGGGGCTGTGGTTTGCCAGGGCAGCTGATACTGCACAGAACATAAACAGGCTCCCTCTCATGTTTCTTACTTGGAATTGTAGGGGAAGACCTGCCCCAGTTCACTGGCTGGGGATTACAAAACAGAATACAGAGAGAATCTTAGTAACAAACCTGTAAAATGTTACTACATTTGAAAGCAGGAGAAGCTCTCTCTCTCTCTCTCTCTCTCTCTCTCACACACACACCCACACACACAGAGAGAGAGAGAGAGAGAGAGAGAGAGAGAACGCCATACATGTGGGCAGCCGGTTTGTTTACTTCCCGTTTCAAATGAAGCCCTGCCCACCCCCACGCACACAGAGCAAAGCTCCCGTGCAGTGGAACAGAAAATTAGAGGGAACATTGGTGTACAGTGCTTCTTCCTGAATAATCAAAGCAGTTTATTTTTTACACTTCTAAGTGGAATTTTTAAAGTACTGACTGAATAGAAAACAGGAATGCATAATAAAAACAGTTACTGAAAACAGCTACAACAAGGACCATTTTTCCCTGTTAGGCTGTTTAGATTATGTTATTAGGACATGTACGTATATTGATTATTCGTCTGCCTGACCTCCCATGAATACAAACTGGATCTGCTCTCATGCTCAAACATGGCACCATTTCCACATTCCACCTTCTCTCTCTTCCCTTTCAGTTTCAAGCTGTGCTTTTCAATCAAGCATATATGTACTACTTTTTAAATCTGGTTTTGGGTCCAGAAACATTATGAAAAGCCAAAGACACCCCAGAGAGGATCTTTTGCCACTACCCCTGTACAAGTTCATAAATAAACACAGTGACCAGAATAGAGAGTGACTTTTGGAAGGAATGAGACTCTTCTACACATGGAGATTCTTCATGTGACCCAGAATGCAGGGAAATCAGCATTCTGAACCAGATGGAGAGGCTGCAAGCCTAAGGGAGGCTTTTCTCCCTGAATAGTTGCAGTTGCAGCAACAGTGTGGAGCAGAGCTACTATGCACTGCTTCTTACATGCATATTTCACCTATCTGCAGACTGCCAAATAGAATTTGAGTAAGTGCTTTTCTTGGTTGAGCGGTCAGTTGTCATGTTTAATTCTTTCTATACTGTCTTTTCTTATTTAGATAATGTTCAAAATGGGAGGTTTAATAATCTGAATGTCACTTGTGGAGTCACTGAAAAATAACTGAGCAATGCTGTCTATTTATCTTCCCCCACTTAGCGATCAGGTCTTCATTTCCGACACACAGATAATACAGTACAGTGGCTGCGGGCAATGGAGTCCATCGGATTACCAAAAGTAAGTATTTGGATCGCGAATGTTGTCATATGCGAGTTTAGAATGCTTATTAAATGAGGAGAGAGTCCAGAAGGAAGTGACCAAGACGATGTTTCCTTAATACAGTCGGGTCTTGACTTGAGAACTTAATCCATATTGGAAGGTGGTTCTCAAGTCAAAAAGTCTGTAGGTCAAGTCTCCATTGACCTACAGTGCATTGAAACCCGATTAATCCCATAACAGGCCGTTTTTGTTCCATTTTGGTTTTTTTCTGGTCTGTAAGTCAATTCTCAGGCTGCAAGTCAAACCTAAATTTTGCAGCCAGAGAAGTCTGTAACTCAAAAAGTCTGTAAGTCAAGCCGTCTGTAAGTCAAGGGTCCACTGTAGTAAGTTAGACCCCTAATCTGTCTTTCTCAATTATGTCCGCAGTAACTTAACAATGGCTGTCTAGAATTTCAGATGAGAGGTTTCCTTTGTCCGAGCTCAAGATACTGGGATTGTGAACTGGGATCTTTTCGAAGCAAAACATTTGCTGTGGTACTGGGCTCCACCTCTTCATCAAGTGTGCAGGAAACCTAGAATCCACCCTGTTTGAATTACTAACACACACCGAAGGTGGGGATGGAGGTTGAGGGGGGGAAGAGATCTGAAGGAGATGGAATTCATATTCTGCCCCTTTCTTGCCAAGGCAGCTGGTAGTATGGAGAAAACGAGCAGGCTGCCATACTTTTCAGCTGGCTCCTATCCGTGGCATTAGATTATGCAGCTCACATGTGCCTAGAAGATCTGACACAGGGACTAGGAACAACAGGAGAAGCCAGAACTTCTCAAGCACAAGCTTAACAAGCAAGCTCATGGAGCTGGTGGTAGAAACATCAGTCTGGTTGTCTCATTTAAGAAGCTTGATTTCCCTTCTTTCAACTTTGTACCCACCCCCCACCCCACCCTGTTTTTGGATTTTGAAAAATGTTTGGGCAGAGCTTGATGAAGTTTCTTTTTAATTATATGCTAGCTGGGTGTTTCTGGGAGAGGTAGGCCCAAAAAGTAATTCCTGTTCAGCAACCAAGTATCGTGCCCTCATGTCATGTGATGGACTTACTTTTTCAACCGACTCACCTCCTTTTGCTTTTATATATTTTTCCATAAAGAGTTCCTAGCAGTGTTTAATACCAGAACTGAGAAAAGTTTTTTGAATGACAGCTTCTGAAATCCCCTTCCAATTACCTTTCTGATTGGGGATACTGGGAATTGTAGTCTGAAAATTAAATTTTGAGAACTCTTTTGAACACTAGTGTTTAATTGTCAACTGTAGTTATTTTTTTCTCCTTTATAAGGACAATTTCTCAAGCAGGCTGTTTCATTTCTGTAATAGTTTACAGCTCTCCCCCCTCACTTGCACAAAAATTCTATATTGATCTTTTTTTAACTGAATAGTAAGAAGTATAAAGTCTTCTTGGATTTTTATCTTAGTGGTTGGTGCTCATTGTCTTAGCAGTAAAACAAATGAAGAGGTGGGCTAGATTTGTCTTGATGGTGAATGGACACCATTTAATTCAACAAGACAGAGTAAATGGTTGCAATTTTAAGTCGGCCTTGCTGGTTGAGATTAGTGGGAGTTAAAATCCAAACATGTTGAAAATCTAAGGTTGAGAACCACTGTGTTTCTGCATCTGACAGACAGTAGGATGCACCCAACCTTGTCCACCAGTTCACTGCTGCTCACTCACTCACTGCTGTGCTGGTACTTGTGTCTTGCCAGCTCAGCTAAATGAGGTGACCTGACATTGTCAGCAATAGTACAGTATTTCATCAGGTGGGCAAACCAAGTCATGTACCTTGCCAGTGTATTGTGGAATGTTTAGCATGAGCTAAATCAGTGGTTCCCAACCTTACATTTTCAACATGGTGTTTTTGGACTGCAATTCCCAGGAACCCCAGCTAGCACAGCTGGTCATGAAGGCTTATGGGAATTGTAGTGCAAGAACATCTGGGTTACCCAAGATTTGGAATTACTGAGCTAAACCGCCCAGAGTAGACCTTTAATCTAGATGGGTGGGGTATAAATCTAATAAAACAAACAAACAAACAAATAATTCCTGTGTCTTTACCCAACGTACTTGCTTAGTCAAAAGGTAGGGTTTTTTATCCACTGCTACAGTGATTTTCAAATAGAACAAACTTTTTCAAGGAGAAGTGAATCTTAATCACCTGGGAAATGTAGTGAACATTGTTTCTCTTTGTGAAGGGCCATGACTTGGTGATAAATATGTCTTTCCTAGTTTGTACAAACACATCTACACAGTTTCTTAAATAAAAAGATATGGACAGGTGCACTTAGTGCAGAGCTTGAAAAGGTTAGTTTCTTGAAGTAGAAGTCTAAGGAAGTGCCTGCCATCATGCTGGAAGTCTTGGTTCAAAAATCTAGTCTCTCTACACTCTTAACTGAGAGGCACTATTGGATTTGCATAAGGATACCCCTACCATTAGACAAGGAAGTGGCCAGCACAGGGAGTGGATAGTCCTGAACATTTCCTTGAGCCTTTAGGCTCCTTTCTTTCTTTACTGAGACACATTCCAGTGATAGCTGTGCTTGTTTGTTGCTGACTTGGACTGGCTGCTTGCCTCACCTAGTGCCATTCTTCTAACATCATCATAGAGGATATCATTGGGAAAGGCACCTAACCAAGCAAGTGATATTGTAATCAGTGCATTCTAAAAATATGGGGCAAATAAAAACAACACCAATCAAACTGGATATGTCCAAATTTGTAATGAACCTTTCAAGCGATTGTTGGCAGGATGCATGCAATGATACAGTCCATATTTATATATAATCATATAATCAATCATACATGTGCGCTAAGGTAAAACTGATACATAGATAGGAGTAGGTTTAACAGTTTACAGTATATTATCTACAGGTGTGCAGACTTGTGTTTTTGGACTGTGGTTCCCATAATTCCCCAGGCAACTAAGTTGCTTGAGGAATTCTAAGAGTTGTAGTCCAGAATCACAAAGCTTGCATGCATCTAGCATTATTCAGACACACTGACTGGAATATTACTGGTGTTCATGCAAGGTTTGCAGAACTTGCTGCAACTCATAGTAGTTAATTGACAAGATATATATTTGTGTTTTTTAAATATCTACTTTTCAATATCTACTTTGTATTTTTAAAAAGTTGACAGTGAATGCTTACTTGATTATAGCTGTTAAATGTTTTATAAGTTAAGTGCATGGCCAAGCCAAGACACACCATAGCACCTCATCATGTAGCTACAATTACAGTTAGCTAAAGTCATGCAAACTTTAAGTGAGCATCACTAGGATTCTGGCCACTAAATCAAATTCTGGTTGATTTAGGTTGCAGTCCTATAGTCACTTACTTGAAAGTTGGTCTTATTTAATTAAGTTTACTCCTGAGTCTGCATGCCTATGGTTGAGATTGCAGTATATATTGTTAGAGTACTGGAAAACTGCTGGATTCAGAATTTTCTGAAAAACTTGCACCATTGGCGACTTAGCGAACAATTGCAGCTGGGTAAACATATCAACATGTTCTCCAAGTCAACATTCACCCAGTGTACTGTCAGCACTACACTCTCATTAAATAACCATGTTAGAATATTGTAAAACATTAGATTATTGAAGTAGCCATTGATGGTATGTTTTTTCTGTCCTGCTTTAGATATTCTACCCGGAGACTACAGATGTATATGATAGGAAGAACATACCTCGGATGATATATTGCATTCATGCACTAAGGTGAGACTAAGAATGTTAACTTAAATCTGGCTTCTTTTCAATATCTACTTTGTATTTTAAAAAAGTTGACAGTGAACGCTTACTTGATTATAGCTGTTAATGTTTTATAAGATGAATTGAGGCATAAGGAAGAAATGATACACTCATATCAGAAGTAAACTTTTTAAGAATGAATTAAATGCTGTATGCTGGTCTCTATGAAGGTACAGTACTTGTATTTCATTGAAAACTATTTTCAAGTCTCAGATTTGAAACATAGTATCAGAACATAGAAATAGTGCTTATCTGAGAACAGAAAAGATCACACTTCTGAACTATGGCTATACTTTTTTTCCCATTGCTAAGATAAAGCTTGGATATTGTTGTATTGACTATTCATTTACCGAAGTCCTGTTTTAATGTTATGCAACTCTGTACATCCGCTGTAGTTTCAATGAGGCACTAAAGCATACTTCTCTATCTGTTGTTGTTATGTGCTGTCAAGTTACATTCAACTTATGGCAACCCAAAGGGTTATGTCATTAACAGCACTACTCAGATCCTTCAAATTAAATTCTGTGGCTTCCTTCATTCAGTCATTCCATCTCATTGTAAGTCTTTTTCCTTTCCTAGCGAGTCTTGTTTTTTCATGATATACTCAAAGTATGATAGCCTCAATTTAGTGGGAACTGTGGCTAAAACCTGCTTATTTGTTGTTCTTGTGGATTATGGTGTCTAATGTTTTCCTCCAACATCACATTTTGAATATTTTTTTTCCTGTTCAGCTTTCACATAACTCTTTTAAAGTGATTGGTAGCATTTCATGATCCACATAATTCAAAAGACTTTGCACTAATATACAAAGCATAGACTGATTGTCTTCTGAAATTCTTTGGTATATTTTAGTAGGAAACATATATTTGCAATATGATCTTTAATTGGTTGTTGTGGGTTTTTCGGGCTCTTTGGCCATGTTCTGAAGGTTGTTCTTCCTAATGTTTCACCAGTCTCTGTGGCCGGCATCTTCAGAGGACACACCCATCAATCACAGTGACAGATAATCTCTCCTCCTTATCACAATAATACACCCACAACAAAAACACACTGATCACCATAACCACCCATCTCCTGAAAAATACTAAAGCTGATCCCACAGCTATAAATACTCAACTCCCAAACAGACTGCACCAGAGCACAGAGTGCTACTCCTGTCCTCTGAAGGTGCCGGCCATAGAGACTGGCAAAACGTTAGGAAGAACAACCTTCAGAACATGGCCAGAGAGCCCGAAAAACCCACAACGATCCCACAGCTATAAATACTCAACTCCCAAACAGACTGCACCAGAACACAGAGTGCTATTCCTGTCCTCTGAAGGTGCCGGCCACAGAGACTGGCAAAACGTTAGGAAGAACAACCTTCAGAACACGGCCAAAGAGACCGAAAACCCACAACAATCATTAGATCCCGGCCAGCTGTGAAAGCTTTCACGAATACATTGATCTTTAATCTTCTTCCTTTTCTTAATACAGCTTAGACATCTGACATTTCTCACTTCATATATGGTAAAAATATTTGATGCAAAATCTTGACCATCACTTTGCTTATCAAGTCAAGACCCCACTGTATGGTAAAAATGTTTGATGCAAAATCCTGACCATCACTTTGCTTGCAAGGAAAATCAATGAAATCAAAGTGGTCCTTTGGCATCTCCTTTCCCTAGTACTTCCTCAGCCCTCCCCATAGACATCTATGAGCAGCATACCACTGTCTTCCAAATCTGTTCTTCTTGCCTGTTGTGGAACTACAGTACAATATTACATGTACAAATTGCTAGAGCATAATGCTGCTCTTGAACAGTGAATAGGAATTAATTGGTATTCACATTGGACATCTGATGCTACTGTTTTAATCACTACAGTGTGTAATAAGAAGGATTTAGGAGACAAAATGTAACTCCTGTCCTTTCTGATAGCATGACTTACAAGGTTAGGAAGATCATTGGGATAACAATTATATTCAATTTTCCTAGGTCTTGTTGTTTATGCATTCAAAATCTGTAGAATTTTGAGTCTGTGAAGCCACAGGGTATAGCAGCCATGAAAGGGTGGCATGCTCGCACCCCTTTGATCCTGATAATTGATACCAATAATTTTTAATTTTCTAAATCATTTCACAGTTCCTTGCTGAATGAAATGGTTCATTCAGCATTTTATACTCTTATCTAATCCACATATAGTATAGTACATAAAAACATACCTTCTTTCAACATCCAGGTTCTTTCTAATATGTCTTTTTGCCATATTGTTGATCCACAATTAAATTTAATCTGAAATCTCATTACTGTACTGAAATGTCTAAATTGTAGAAGATGTTGATCGTGCCTATACTGATATGTCCATATGTTAAAACCTCAGCATAACTATAGGTGTGCTTAAGAAGCTTATTAACTTAATAATGTTATTAACAATCCACATTAGTAACTCTTCATATTTGAAATAGAAGAAAGCATCATAAAGGGACATTTGTATGTGTGTGTGCGCACATTACTTCTTAAACCTGAAAGCAGTTGTATCAATAATGAGCTGGCATTCCAATGCCCTCTAGTGGTAAACAATATTCTTTCAAAATACTGTACTGTACCATTCTTTCTAGGCAGCGGGGATCATGTTTCCTATGGAAATAATAGTGCTGATCTTGAAATTATCAATCTATAAATATGCAATGTATCAGTGGCTAATTGAGTCAGCAGTGCCACATTGAAAGCATTTCCTAGGCAATATCTTATTCCTAGGAAGCAGTAACAAAATCTTGGGAAAATGTCTAATAATTGAAAGCATAGGTAAGTTGGTTTTTTTTAATATGCAGAAATTTTAGATATTTAAATATAACATATTTCAGGCCCAAATTTTAGATATTTAAATATAACATTATATTTCAGGCCCTAAAAGACTTCCAAGTTCTTTCAGAATCTAAAGTGTGGTGTTGCTTTTAAACATTTAAAATGACACATTGGTCCTTTAAAAAAAGTCTAAATCACATGTTAGGAAAAGTTAAGTGCAATGAAGACTTGGTGTTAGAAGCTACCAAATGTTGGTATATTTATCAAAAACAGCATATGCTTGTGCTGAAATTCATTCTTTCTAGCTGCTCTTGAAACATTGTCCTAGGAAATCCTATGTTTCTGGAAGGTTCATCTTTCCTTATCAGAACAAGTCTGAGTTGGAAGAGCAGCTATATAAGGAATGAGAACAAATTCTTATGTGTAGGATTTGTGTCACTGGAAATGAAGGCTGAGATCATCCATACTGTAGGGTCACTGTAATTCTTGACTAAACTGCATGAATGTGAAACCTAGACATTGAAGAAAGCTGTAAGGGGGAAAGATGATTGTTTGAAATGTGGTGTTGGAGGAGAGCTTTCATGGATTCCATGGTCTTCCAGAAAGACAAACTACCTTATTTTTCCATGTATAAAATAACACTTTTTACTTAAATAATTAGACAAAAAAAATGAGGGTCATTTTATACACGGAAGGCAGGCGCTTTGCCTTCCTTTTGTGAAGCCATAGGGTAAAGCAGCCATGAAAGGGTGGCATGCTCACACCCCTTTGATCCTGAAGCCCTTTCGTGGCTGCTAAAGGATCAAAGGGGTGTGAGCGTGCCGCCCTTTCACGGCTGTGTTACCCACTTCCTAAGCCTTGTGGGGCTTAGGAAGTGGGTAATGCTGCCGTGATAGGGCAGCAGGATCGCACCCCTTTGATCCTTTAGCAGCCATGAAAGGGCTTCAGGATCAAAGGCGTGCGAGTGTGCCACCCTTTCATGGCTGTGTTACCCATTTTCTAAGTCCCACGGGGCTTAGGAAGTGGGTAACGCAGCTGTGAAAGGGCGACAGGATTGCACCCCTTTGATCCTGAAGAAGCTATGAAAGGGCTTCAAGATCAAAGGGGTGCGAGTGTGCAAATTTTCTAATTTGGGGGTTAGAAAAGGGGGGTTGTCTTATACATTGGGTCGTCTTATAAACAGAAAAATACGGTAAGTGGTTCCTTGAAAATGACTATACTGAGACTATCATACTTTTGAGCATATCATAAGACTCACATGGGAAAGGCAATAGTGTTAGGAAGAGTGGAAGGCAGTAGGAAAAGAAGACGACCTAACATGAAACAGGTTGACTCACCAAAAAAAGACAGTGTTTCATCTACAAAATCTGAGCAGGATTTTAATAGGAACTTTTGGAAATCATTAATTGATAGGGTTGCTATAAGTCAGGGCAACATCTTACCCTTTTTAAAATGTGCTACTTCCACATGAATTCTTCTGCCCCCCTTTTCCTTGTTTCCTATTCTTCCTGGCATCTTGAAACTCAATTATGTTCAGCATGTGAGCTTTTTTTTTGGAATAGTTATCTTAATTCTTGCCATCTCTGCGTTGCATCATCCTAATCCAACTTTTATGGTGTTGAACTGCTCTTAGTAGAAATCCTTTCTCTTCTTTAGCTCCAAAACATACTCTTCTTGTTGTTGTTGATGGTTTAGATATGTTTGAGCCACTTTGATTCTCACTTTTAGCAACAACTTTTGATTAGTCTCTTGTGTAATCTTAATAAATTCCCTGAGTCCTCAACAATTGTTAATTTCACATGGCAGGAAGACTTGAATAAAGACGTGAATTTGTTTAGCTATTGTCCATATGGCTTCACTGTACATTTTGGAACAGTATTAATACAGGTTTTCCAAGCAACATGAAATGAAATCAGGGTTTCTCAAGGGACTTTTATCTCCAGTTCCCAAAAGCACTTACCTCCAATTCCCAAAAGCACTTATTATTTCATGGTAGGTTGAATAATCTTGAAAGGCTGAAACATATCATATCACTTTTGTATAAAGATCAAATACTATATATACTTATTATTGGGAAACAGAATCAAAGTAAATTCTTATCATTATAAGTTCTTTTGATTACCACTCAGATATTTTGTGTAACATAAGGCATGCAAAAATCAGAAGAAACCTAATTTTTAAATCTCTTTTCAGAAAAAAATAGGCTGTACTTATTTCAGGAGAGTAGTTGTGTATGCCTAATAAAACTAGTAAAGAATCCTTTGGTACCTTAAAGTCCAGTGAATTAATTGCAGAAGAAATGTTGATAAGGAACAATCTACTTCATCTCATGCTGGTCCATTTAGCATTTTGTAATGTAACACATCTTTTCCCTTTTTCCTTATAGCTTATATTTGTTTAAATTAGGAATAGCTCCTCAGATCCAGGATTTGCTGGGGAAAGTAGACTTCACAGGTACTTTTCACATTTGTTTGCTAATATTTGCTAGTAATAGGGAGCCCTATGTTATTGAAGTACTCAGTGCAGAAATCCTGTCTGTTTTGGTATTATGTGAAGTTACATCAGCAGAAGCGTGCCAGACATTAAATCCAGGCAACCAGCATTGTGCAGTTAGATTGTGCAGAAGCCGTTTATTGTACTGCAAGCTTGCAGAAGTGCTTTGGAACTATAGCTTCCACTCTGCTGCACTTTTCCCTAATACTGCTGCTCCATAATAGGATTTCAGCCTGTGTATATGTGGCAGATTTTTTCCACTCCCCCATATTGATGTGCTGAAGTAGGTGTAAAGTGTAAAGAATGTGCTTTGCTTTATTAAATCACACTACGTAGCTCTATGGGTTTCAGTGTTTTTTTTAAAACAGGAGGAGAAAACCAAAGAAACTGGAGGCATAACAATATTAAGGCCTACAGGCTTCCTTCTCCTCCGGACACATATACAACTGTTTTGTAGATGCTTTTATTATGTAATAAATCTTAATCAGCTTTGTTCATGTAACTCTCCCTCCCTTCTCTCTCCCACACTACTTTTAATTAGAGGAAGAAATTAGTAATATGCGGAAGGAACTGGAGAAGTATGGTATACAGATGCCATCTTTTAGTAAAATTGGAGGCATCCTAGCCAGTGAACTTTCAGTGGATGAAGCTGCATGTAAGTTCACCTGATTGGTATAGTAGGAAAAAAAAACTGTCTAAAATGTGTTTTAAATCTTGTTTAATTACAGATATCACCTGAAAACAGATTTGTGCTGTCTTTTTTTTTTTATCCTGTGGTCTAAAATATCCTAGAATCTAAAGGTGTGAGCTGCCTCACTCAGATACATGGACTTCCTGCAAATACATAGAAACATCAGACCAACATTCACTTCTAAGCATTTCTACAGGCTACATCTAGTTCATAGAAACTGATGTTTTAAAATTTTAGGCATTTGAGAAACTGTTTTTTACTGACTATACATGTAAGGCAAAGGTAAAGGTTCCCCTTGACATTTAGTCCAGTTGTGTCTGACTCTAGGGCGCTGTGCTCATCCCCGTCTCCAAGCCATAGAGCCAGCATTTGTCCATGGACAGTTTCTGTAGTCATGTGGCCAGCGCAACTAGACCTGGAACACCGTGACCTTCACACTGTGGTGGTACCTATTTATTGACTCACATTTTTACATGCTTTCGAACGGCTAGGTTGGCAGGAGCTGAGACAAGTGACGGGAGCTCACTCCGTTACATGGATTCGATCTTACAACTGCTGGTCTTCTGATGTTGCAGCATAGAGGCTTCTGCAGTTTAACTTCAAGCGCTACCATGTCCCATGGTACATGTACACATGTACAATTCTGTAAATTACAAGTTTTATTTTACAATATTTTCCAGTTTTACCTGAATATATACTGCACTCGTCTTTGAAGTATATACTTTGAAAAAATGGAAAATAATGTACAGGACATATGCATGAATTTCCACGCAGGGAGAGAAAGTCTGTACTGAAATGGAAGCGAAGAAGTAAGGCAGAATTCTTTAGGATACTGGCTTATTTTATCATGCAAATGTTTTATGTTTTATTGGACAGAGGTTTAAAAAAGCTACACTGAATATAGGTTGTTAGAAAAATTGACACAAAAAGTTAAACATTTGAACTTTCTTAACAATAGTAAACATTTTAAGGTCACAATCCTGTAGGAATTATGCAGCATAAAGGGTCAATTGCACAACTGGCTATCTTTCCTGTTGTTCCACGTCCACCAGTCGGGAAAACAGTTGTGTAGCCAGTGGCACAATAGATGCAAGCAAGAAAAGAAAACGATCTTTAAAAAAATCCTTTATTGTTTATTTCCCTGACATACCCAGTTGTTTTAATAGAATTTTAGCATGCACGTTATTCTTCTGTATGGTACTTTTGGGTGTAGAAAACACGTAACATGCATTAAGTGGTTGAAAGCTGTTCAGTCACTTTGTTAGGTGTCTTCTACTAATATGGGACGTGGTGGCGCTGTGGGCTAAACCGCAGAAGCCTGTGCTGCAGGGTCAGAAGACCAAGCTGTCGTAAGATCGAATCCACGCGACGGAGTGAGCTCCCGTCGCTTGTCCCAGCCTACTAATATGGCAGAAGGCCAAGACCAAAAGTGCATAGTCGATAGAGAAAGAATCTGAGCTGTGTGCTTCATGGCACAGTTTCTGTTTCACCATATTAATATGTACTCTCTGTTAGCAGTTTGTTTTAAATTTATTTTAACATGTTCCATAATCTTTCCCCCCCCCGGGAAAATATTGGAAAGGACAAGTTAATCTAGAATCCCCAGTTCATTTTATTGTAGCCATGTAATTTGCTTGTGCTTTCTGTTAACAATTGCTTTTAATTTTACATGTTTTTAATTGTTACATCTGATTTTTTAAAAAATATGATGTAGTAGGCCACCTGAGTCCAAAGGTGGGCTTATAAGTTATTTAAATATAAATCGATAATTAATAAATTAATAATAAATGTTCAGTAACTTCCACCTGCTTAATACAGCATTTCGATCATCACCTTTCTTTCTTTACTGTACTCATTTTAGTCTGCTAGTTGTTTCTTTCTTGGATAGTTTTTTTAAAGGTAGGAAAAAAGAACATCTTAAAGTCCTGTTTTGTGTGTGGTTGTAATTGTTCAGGTGCTTTAGGCTATTAATACAGAGGAAACGTTGGGAAAGTAAGAATAAGAGCCCTTTGAAGCTGCTCTTCCCTCAGTCCTAAAGTAAGGTTCACTACCAGTCCAGTATGTTTTATTAATTTTATAAATAAATGAAGAAAAACATTTAATAAGTGTTAAGTATCTTTGAAATCAAGAATGCTTCCAAGTGAAGAAAGTTATAATTTCATACAAGCCCTTCTTCCTACTGCTCCTTCTGAACTCTGTTGTGTTCTGTTCAAAGTCATATGTATTTTGAAAAGTAAAACATGTCATTGTTAAGCTCATGAAACTAAACTAGATGATACTTTACAGAGATAGCTAACAGCCGTGTATGTTTTATTCTGAAGTAAGTACAGGGCCCCTTATTGAGAATCTTTGTGTAAGTGCCTTGCTCCCTGCTGTGGTTCTTATCCATACTGAAGCCAACATAGCTGCATTTATCAATGTCAAAACTATTTCAAGATAAAAGTATCCTTTTTCTGCAATAAAAATTTCTAAAGTGAAAACGTTAGTGTATGAGGCAAAGGGTTGTAGCCCCTGTTTCCCATGCCAGGGTCCCAGTTTGGGTTGGCAGGCTCTGCATTGACTTCAGAGTAAATAAGAGAAAAAGCTATAGATATTTGCTTCTTCTTTAAAGTATTGTCTAATACGTTTTCTAAAAAAATTGTAGTGACCATTAACTGTAATTTAGAGTGCAAAGGTTTGGGAATCCTACTCGTTTTTAAAAATTGTTTAAATTAATATTGCTTTTGGACTCTTCCTTTCCCAGTGCATGCTGCAGTAATTGCAATTAATGAAGCTATTGAGAAGGGAGTTGCAGAGCAAACTATCAAAACACTGAAAAATCCTAATGCCATGTTAGTCAACGTGGATGATAATCTTGCCCATGCATATCAGAAGGAACTTTTGCAAGCGAAAAAAAGAAAAGAAGAGAACGCTAGACTCAAGGTACACAAACAGATTGTTACGTGAAACTGAGTTCTGTTTAAAATTATTGTTCTTTACCTTTAAATAGGACAACAGTACATAGTTATCTGAATATAACTGCAAGTGAAATGCAGCCAGGTGACACAAAATAACAGAAATTATTGAAGATCTTGAAATCATTGAAGACCTTGTTTAGAATTTGCTGTTTGTTCTCGCTGCTCATCATGGTCTTAGTAAGGCAGTGCTCATTTGGACATTCTGTTATTTTGAAAAAAGCAAATAGGTAAACCAATTACCTTTGTAAATGTCATTTTGCATTCTAAAACTCCAGACTTACAACACTTTTGCAATACCAAGTAGATTATTGGTAATGAAGTAAAGCATGCAAACCTCTTGTTAAACTCACAAAAACATTTTATGACAGAAGGAACCATTGTCAGCGTTATCCAGTAAAGAAACATTCAATGTACAATCCACATTCTTCAAATGTAAGGCAAAATAAATGCCATTTTAATTTAGTATTTTATGTCCCCTTACCCAGTTGTTCAACTCAGATACAATTATTCTGTTTTTGCATGTCAGAAAGTGTCCCTATCCTAAATTTGGCAATGACAGCCTAGAAAGAAAACCTCTTTAATTAATATTGTTGCTTTTAGGATGACTCAATTTTGGAGGAGGAAAGAGATGTGTATGAAGAGTTACTGACACAGGCTGAGATCCAAGGAAACATCAATAAGGTCAACAGTGAGTAACCCTTGCTTTTTGTGAAACCAGATTTTTCTGAAACGTGGAAGCTGGATACTCTGCTTCAATTCTAGTGAAAAATATCAGTTATTTTTCTCCATCTATCTGTCGAATTCTATCGGATATTTTTTTGCTGTCGCATTACTAAACTTTGGTGAAGAGGAGCTTCCTTGTTGATCTTTTGCATAACAACAGACTTGATAATTGATTGAAATCTACTTTAGCTGCTTTCTACCCTCTTTTGCTAGCTGCAAAATCCTGTAAATTTTGACCCCTCTTACATGTCGCTCCCCAAGCAAGGACCCCAAAACTGTTAGAGTTAAAGAGTTTTTGGTTCTGGTACGTTCCTTGTGTGGAGATCTGCAAGGATTTCATGCAAGTTCCCTTGTATAAAATATGTGTGAAAGAGCTAGAAGAGACAAACTAATTCAAAAATATTTTGCTATCTGTAAGCCTTGTTTTCCTTTCAGTTCACATAGCTTTAGCCCGAGTGAATGAGGCTATTGACATGCAAGATGAAGTGGCATTGATGGCAGGCTTGAAAAACCCTGCTCTGAGCTTGCTTGAAATTCTGTCGCAAAATTCCTCATGGTACCTAGCACAGTTATTTGATTCTAAAGAGCAGAGAATACAGGTAACTGAACATAAAATGCCAGTGGAACATCTGCGTTTGCATAGCATTAAAATAGGATTTCTGTGTGCTCTGTGGCCCTATTGTGAATAGAAGAGAGGAGCTTGCAAAAATATTTTTATAAACATTCTCTGGCCATGCACAATTTGCTTTTATTTTGATTAGCTTGTAAATATTGTATAAGTAAGTGCTAAAACTACTTATAAGCAAAATAGAAAAGACATTAAATTTGAAAAATTAGATCTTTGAAAGCCTGTTCTGTCCATAATGAGAAATAGCCATGTTGTTTCTCACGCAAAGACCTCTAAGCTGTTAGAGTTAAAAACATATTGTCTAGAGAAATAGATGTGAACTTTTGCTTAATGAAAGTGCATATACTATTTTAAAATGGGTGGTACATTCTGAGGAAAACATGTTTTTGATGGAGTTCTTGGAGATAGTATATAGCCAGCAATTCCAAATGCATACTCATTTACCCCTTAATTTTTTAAAAATTGTATTTAATAAAAACCTTTTTCCCTGATCTGTTAGATAGCAAGGGTTCCAATTATGCTCGACAAAATTGAAATACAGAATGAAGTTAGTGTTGCCAATGAGGAAGCAGACTGTCACAAATTTAGTGAGTAAATTGTTAATATTCCCTTGTAATGTCACCTCATGTTTAACCTTCAGGTTGAGCAGTTATATTCATTATTAGATTCATGTTTTCTTCAATTTAACCACACTGTGCTTTATTTTGTCACTTCTACTTTGCTGTTACCATTGCCAAACCATGAATTTAGATTTGCATTCATAGTCATGAATGCAATATATCATGTGCTCTTCAAATTTACTTACCCTTGGATCCCCTAGTTTGGATATCAATCCTACTTTTCACTTTAGAATAACAGCAAACAGTATGTTGAAGCATCATGTGCTCCAAGTATAAATGTAACTGTTATTAAATAAATAATGAGGATGACTGGAACTTTAAGTTAGTATTTCAAAAGAAAAAAGGTATATTTAAGGGGGTTCTAAATTTGCAGCTGCATTTCCGTCAGTTACTTTTCTTCAGTTTCTGAAATGTTGAAACTCATCTTCTGGGACAGAAGCTTAGAAAACACCTTCATTTCATGCTTCCTGTGGCTTAGCTTAATGGTAATTTATCCTCTTTAGTTTTGCTTGAATTCACCAGTCTAATAGCTTCTTGCTTGCTATGTGTGTGCAGAAAATAGCGCATGTAGATACTTAGTGATTTGACTATGTTGAATCAGTGTATAATGGATCTCATATGTTGTGTTTTTTCCAGCTTACTCAATTTTTAAAATGGCATCATCCGCCTTACTTCACTGGAATATTTGTGGTTTTGTTTGTTTGAAAGTACAGTATTGTCTCCAAGGGGAGCAGTTCAGTTAGTAGTTGCTGCTGCTTTACTTGAACATACAGTGGTGCCCCACTAGACGATTACCTCGCAAAATGGTTTATTCGCTAGATGATGAGTTTTTGTGATTGCTATAGTGCTTCGCAAAACGGTGTTTCCTATGGGTGATTTTCACTAGATGATGTTTCGGTCCATGCTTTGCAAGACGTTTTTTTTCAGGACTGTTTTTTGCAAGATGACATTTTGACAGCTAGGTCCGCGACTCGCACAACGGGTATTTTCGGGATTGTTTTTCGCAAGACAGCGATTTTGACAGCTGATCCGCGCTTCGCAAAACGGTTTTCCTATGGGTGATTTTTGCAAAATGACAACGATTTTTCCCCACTGGAATGCATTAAATAGATTTCAATGCATTCCAATGGGGAACCGCATTTTGCAAGACGATGTTTTCGCAAAACAGCGATTTTCGCGGAATGAATTAATATCGTCTTGCGGGGCACCACTGTATAGCAGTACTTTACCTTCTTTCAGCAGATTATTAAGTGTTGATTTTTAAACAGGAGACTTGATCCAGCATGCATGAGACAGCCCACATACAGGTTGAGCTCCCATACAAATAAAGGCTCCAATTTATTCACAATTGACACTGGCCCACACATGCACTGGAACAATTTTATAGTGTAATCTATTCTGTAGTAATAATGGGCATAGAACTGATATTACATTGGATAAGAGAAGCAAAACATCCATCTCTTACATGTTTGAAAGCATATAAATATTCTAGAGTTATATGAAAAGCTGCCTATACCTTATCTGGGAACTTCTCCAATCAGTAGCCAATATCTGCCTACTCATACCATCCCGTGGCCTTCCTTTTTGTGTTAGAAGACACACATGTAATTCAAAGGAAACCATTAATTTAAATTTAATATTACAGCCATGTTTTCAGTATTCTCAGTACGTTGCCTTGATGCATAATTTGGAGGGGAGGGATTTGCAAATTTGTTCCAATCAGCAGCTTGAAATTTCTATAATTTCTGTTGTTCTCTTGAGCACAGACTATTTGATTCAATAGGAACAGACTTAGAGGATTTATTTTATAATGATATTGCTACAAGTATTGGATACCTAACATGAAATGGAGCAAATACAGCAAGGACTTCTAATGTTGTTTTTATTTTGGCCTCTAGAGCTTATTGCAGTTGATAATATTAATACTGCCATTCGTAACTGTGACCCAAGTAAGACAGTAGCCGCTCTAATGAAACCTGAGGCCCAGTTGCCTGATGTTTACCCATCTGCTGCCACTGTCTATCAGACTGAACTCTTCAATCTTCAGCAACAGAATGCTGTGGTAAGATGGAAATCAGTCAATTATATCCCTGATTAAGAAATGAGATAGCCAGATGTTCATTTCTAGTTCCCAATGAGTCTCCCTATTCTGAATGTTCTAATTATTTATATTGCAAAAATGTTTCCTTATGATTTCAGATGAGTGTTCTGTTTTCAGCAGAGATGTCTAATTACTAATCTTTCAGTGTTCAAACATAAATTATGTGATTTCCCCCTTTATGAAGTGAAAGATAAATGCTGATGCTTCTTCAAAAATAAACAAGATAAATAATGGCTGAAATCCACAATTACATCACCTGCTAGGATAGTTAAGATTTCTGATATTTAAGCATGTATAATTTTATCTTCTGAGTTCTCCTTCTTTAGGCAGCCTTCACTTTCACAAGCTATATTCCTATTTTATGTTCATGCCAGGTTTATTTATTTATTTATCCTTACTCACCTGGCCAGTGGCCGTACTTCATTAGAAATGTGAGGTTCACACTCCTTTTCTCAGATTCAGCTGGCAACATCTTACTGTTGCCCAAATCGCTTCCATCAGAAGTTAGCAGCTTGTAGACTGCCTACTGCCTTTGGAGGTCCCCTCTGTGGCTCCAGTGACTACCCTTAACTTGATGTTTTGTCCATGCTTCCAATTTTTTACACTTTTCTTTACTGCCAGAAAAAAAAATCCCCTACCTGTAACTGTTTGTTAATATAGTTGCTACTGATGCCAATTTTACCACCAGGAAAAAAAATACCTACTGGCTGCAGATACCGCATTAGGGCTCTTGCTGCTTCTGCTTCTGATGTTGCCCCCAAGTTCTGATATCTTCTAATAAATATTCTGGTTGATATGCTTGGAGGGCTGTGTGGTTAAACACCTTAGGGGCTTCTAATGCATGGATCAGCCTGGGAGAGAGAAAAGCTCTGTAAATTAGCCTTTATTCTAACAGGCTGTTCTTCCTCGTGGTCTCTGTGAATCACACCCTGGGTGATCTGCGCCTGCGCGTAACCTCATCAGAAAGTTTTAGAGCTTTTCCAGTAGCAAGAAACACGTTAAAATAAGGCTCCTCCCCCCCTTGTATAAGTACCTTGGCGCCAAGTCTCCCCTTTTAGTTTCTTTTAACTGCCGTGTTGAGAGCCTCATAGTTCTGCTTCTGTGAGTAAAAGAGAGAGTTTATTCTTGATTCCTTCTTTAAACTTTGAGATCAAATTCATTATCATCAGAGATTTTTTTCTTTTCTACTTCACTCAGCCTCCAGCTGCAGCCCCCCCCAATTATCGTTTCCCCCCCTCGAATTATTTTCTCCTATTCATGGCCCCTTTGGGCCCGTTTAAACACTGTGTGGTCTGTGATAACAAAATACCACTATCCAACGGCCACGCCAAGTATCTTTTTTTGCTTGGGAGAGGCACACCAAACCTCCTCATGCCAGCATTGTAAGAACTTCAAGCACGGAGTCCTCCGTTCTCGCTTATCCAGATTAAAACACTGTCTTTGGGAACAATCCCTTCAACCAACCAAAATGGCCCAACCTCCTTGTAAGGCCACCTCACAAACCAAAGCAATGGAGAAGGCTCTTTCTGAAGCCTCAAAACAATGTCCATCAGCCACACCATCCCACTCCGACGCTCCATCCACTTCGTCTAAGACTTCAAAAACCCATAAATCAAAGCTCTCGGTACCAAAATCCTCTATATCAAAGCCTTCCACTAAACGTCAAATGTCCACCAAAGCCTCTTTGGTTCTGGAGCCTTCTCTGCCTAAAAGACCTAAACAGCATAAATCTAAAGCTGCAGTCATCTCTCAGCAGCCTCAACAAACGGCCGAATCAATCTCTATTGGTTCGCCTTCTGACAATGACGGAATCCCTCCTCATCAACTCTGCTCCCAATCACCGGAATGGGATGACAGAGTTGATTGATTAACATCTTCTCCTCCCAGTCCTCAGCACTGTTCTTTCGAGGAATCCTTCCATAGTTGCTTCACCTGACAGGTCGACTCCGAACAAAAGCTAGAGACCTTACCTTATTCTGTAACATCTGATTGTCCAACACGACTGCCTCATAGACATCGGCCCCAACAGTCCCTGGAGCTGTCTATTTCATCATGCGTGGCTCAGACCCACGTTCAGCACTCTCACCGGGTTGCCATTTGCCCCGACCAGTGCTCAACCGGACAAACCACAACCACCAATCAGCCAGTTGCTCTATCCAGCTCGGCCATACCTTCTCATGCCGGGCCTTGATCTCGACAGCCATCAGTGTCAAAACAGCCATATCACTGTGACCCACATCAGCTCCAACCTGCTCCCTACCTGGCACCTAAAAGACCCAGGACGGTCGAGCAGTTTTCTTCTACACGCGAGGCTTTTACAGCTCCAGTCTCCCAATATTTTCCCACTAATCCAGATGAGGGAAATCATTCCTCTCACTCAGCATCTCCAGCGTCTATATACTCCACTGCTTTACCAGCTCATCAACAACCTCCGTTTTGACATCACCGATACACAGGCTCCGAAATCGATGATGCTCAACATCCACTCAGATGACATCTCTCGATATTGAAAATCCTCAACACCGACAAATGCCCATGGACATTCCGCCTCCATTGACATTGAGCCACAAATGTCAGTACTATGACACTCAACCTATCGACACTGAAGTTGATAGAAAATCTGTCGATTCCTGTCACAATCCCAGTTATTCCGATCACGGATCCAGACCTCAGACACCATCAGTATTACTTCACCGGAATCCGACCTTGTTGATGCCGATTATTTGTACGACCCAGTCACTAAAGAGACAACTACTACAGTAAACATCTCAATGTTTCTGTCTCTACTCAGCACCACTCAACAATCCTGGACAGAACCAGCCTCTTCCCATACCATGTCTAAATGAATCAATAACCTCTACAGAGTCCATGATCCTGGAGCTTTATTTCTTCAAAAACAACCAGCTCCAAACTCTATTTTTGTCAAAGCCTCACAATCCAGATCTCGAAATCGACAAGCCCTCATAAATATAGAGACAGTAGAAGGATTGACTCAATGGAAAGATGGCTTTATTCATCGGCATCATTCACCATGAGTGTCGCTAATGACCAGGGAGCCATGGGTGCATATCAACATTTCCTTTGGGACAGTATGTCAACATTTATCAAATCTTTACCAGAAGATAAAAAAGTACTCGCCCATACCTTTCTACAAGAAGGTATTTCCGTTGCCAAACAACAGATGCTTTCTGTTAGGCACACGGTAGATGCCACAGCAAAGTCAGTGGCCAATTCAGTAGCCTTACAACATTTCTCTTGGCTAAGGACAGCTGGCCTGGCTGAGGATGCCCGCGCACATATTGAAGACCTTACATTCGACGGAAT